ACTCACTGAATGATCATTTATTGATTGATCAAGATCTTTAGCTTTGGATTGCCCCTTTGGCTGTTTTACTTTAATTTGCTTTTCTCCCTAATCAGAATGTCACTATGTTGCTCTCTTAATGTATTTCTTTGTTTTGACTGGTTTTCCCCACAGGTAGACTTGCAGTATTTGTACCAATCCTTTTGTTAATTGCCAGCTTAGGACCTGTCTCATATTGATCTCTTAATCCCAGCCCAGTCTTCATTATCCAGGATGTCAAAAAGTGTTTATCAAGTTTTTTTTTTTCCCTGTATGTTAGGCCGTGGGCCAAGTGTGGGGTGCCAAGAAATGGTACCTTTGAATTGGGGAGACAGCTAGGTACATAAAGGGTATATACAAAGATGATAAAAGTAATCTGGGAGAACAGAAGGTTTTCTCTTATCCTTGAGGTAGTGGAAAGCATGGGAGTGCATTGAGTTATGACCTGCACAACTAGGTGTGCTCTTAGAAAAATCACCTTAGCAGCTGTTTGGAAGTTGGTTTGGAGTGGAGAGAAACTTGAGTCAAGGAGACTAGTTAGAAGACAGTTGCAATGATTGAGGCGGAAGGCAATGAGAGCTCTGTTACAGTTGTATAAGTGAAGAGGAGAGGCTGCATGTAAAGAGGTGTGAAGGCAGGCAAGCAACAGTTATTTACTTTGTGCCAGGCACTGTACTTAGATGCTGAGGATACAAGTACAAGCAAAAAGAAAGACAGCCCCTGCTCTCAAGGAGCTTACATTCTAATTGGAGAAGACAGAGTGCAAAGCTGAAAAATGGGGAAGCTGAGGCAGGTGGGGGGGGTGGTCCAAAATGGAGACTGAGGGAGGAACTGATCAATGAAAACAAAAAGAGTCCACAGGTGTGGAGGAAAGTTCCAAGGTGACAAGTCAGCTGAGGCAGGGAAGCCATGGTAGAAACTTCGATGTTTGTTACTCCCACAAGAAGTTGTATGATTCAGGACCTTCTTATCTCATTGTAATTGCCTTCTAAATGATTTCCTGCTCGTTGGTCTTTTTTATGCTACTACCCAGGGACTCCTGTTGCCTCGCTCTTATTATGTCATTCCAGGGGCTCCTCATTCTATGCAGAATAAAGTCTAGGTTTTTGGATATACTCTATGCTGTCACCAAACTGGCTCATCCACCAGATGTTTTTGTCCCTCCCTCCATCTCTTTGCTTTTCTATTCTAATTCTATTTGTAGTGGAAGCAAGACTGTGCAGGGGTAACCTATGGGACCTTTTGGTGATTGCTTTTATGTAATAAAATTGTTTATGTTAGAAGAATTCCACTGATCAATACATGTTTTATATTCCAAGTGTGAAGTAGACATGAAATTAGGTCCCTGTAAAGGTCAAATTTTTGTCCCAAATGTTGTCTTTGGAGGAAGAAAGAGATTGGAAGTTAATTTGGTTTTCAGAAATTAGTGGAGAAGGTTAGTTTTTCCTGCGTGTTCAAAAAGCTGTGAAACCTTCTGGGCTAAAATTTAGCCTAAAGATATCTTTCTGTTATTTTGAATATTTGAGGTAGGGACTTGTAAACTTAGGGGACAAAAGGTAGGGGAAAATTATTCCCTGCCAACACTGACCTTTACAACATTTTCTAAGCTTCTTTGAAAATACAGTACCAAGCAAGGATACCAACTTAAAAGTGTAAACGTCAGCTTTAGACCTGCTCAGTTATTTTTTTCCTTGTTGTGAGTTTTTTTCATTCCTTCTTTGAAAGGTTAGAAAAAAAGGAGGGCAAATCTTGAGCTTAGTTGAAATATAGAAGAGCTACCCAACTTTGAATAGCCAATTCCATCTCATTGGCTATCCTCATCCTGCTGCCTTCTTACTAGCATATACATTAATTTGGGTAGACAAACCTTTTATGAATGAATTTCCTATAGTACTCAGGACATTGTTGATCTTTCTGAGAGAAATTAAAACTTTCCATTCTGTGTAATCAGTTTATGACTGTGTTTGGAGCTTGTATCCTCTCCCTTCATAGACTCTTAACAAGTGCTAAAAGAATACAGCTCTTTTACACATGTTCTAAGGTAAAGAGAATTGGGGATATATTTTTCCTGTATTATTATGTAGGTGCTTATTTTGGCATTTGTGAAGCGTCATTTGAGGTGATGAGTATCATTCTGGGATACTAAGGTCACAGTTTATTTCATGGTAAGCCTGGGATTTTAAGGTGAATTGATTTTTTTTTTGAGGCTATACTTGTATTAAAAACTGGATATGTCTAGATTTTTTCCCTATAAATTGGACACATTTTACAAGCACATTTTAGTCCCTTATGTTTTTTATTCAGTTTTTTTTTCCTTGCAAAAAAATATACCCAGGACTTGCAAATGTGGAACATTTTAAAACAAACTGGCCCAGATAAAAGCAAATAGGACCATCTTTTTATTATAATAATTATTTTTACTTACTACCTATTCAACAGATCAGGAAAGATAGGTAGCAAGTTTAGTATTTTAATTATGTGGTAACTCACATTGAGAATTTCATTCAGATCTTGCTTAGCATTAATACTTTTTTGGGTTCATTCATTATAGTTTATTTCCATTTCAGATTTCTACTTGCAGTGTTTTAAAATTCACCAAGATTCCAGGAGATTGTGGACCATCATAGAAAGCATAGGAGATTTTGTACATCTGAAATAGATGTTCTTTTGACAACAAAGATTTATGTGAAAACATTTTGTAGTTTCAAAACAAAACACTGAAGAGCATAGCTGTTGTATATAACTCAGCTGCTTTTGTAGCTGGCACCACCAAGTCAATCCTAAAATGGAGAAGTTTTGTTATATGCACATGTTCACCATTGAGACTGTTTAGGTCTAGAGCATCTGCACTAACAATGATAGGGAAGTTTTTAAGTTAATGTTGCTCTGGCACTTTTGTTGTTTTTTGGGTTGTTTTGTGTGTGTGTGTGTGTGTGTAATTATTTTGATTTATCAACCATCACTTCCATAAGCTTTTGAGTTTTAAATTTTTCTCTCCCTTCCTCCCCAAGACGGCATGCAATCTGATATAGGTTATATATATACATTCCTATTAAACATTTTCACATAAGTGATGTTGTAAGTAAGAATTAGAATCAATAGGAGGAACCATCAGAAAGAGGAAACAAAACACAACAGAAGAAAAAAAATAGCAAATCATATGCTTCGATCTGCTTTCAAACTCCATAGTTCTTTCTTTGTATGTGGATAGCATTTTCCATCATGAGGCCTTTGGAGATGTCTTAGATCCTTGTATTGCTGAGAAGGGTTAAGTCTATCCATATTAGTCATCACACAATGTGACTGTTACTGTGTACAACATTCTCCTGGTTCTGCTCACTTCGCTCAGCATCAGACCATACAAGTCTTTCCAGGTTCTTCTGAAGTCAGCCTGTTCATTTCTTATAGTACAATAGTATTCCATTACATTCACATAGCACAACTTGTTCAGCCATTCCCCAATTGATGGGCATCCTCTCAATTTCCAGTTCTTTGCCACCATAGAAAGAGCTGCTACAAATATTTTTGTACATGTGGGTCCTTTTCCAATTTGTATGATTTCTTTGGTATATAGCCCTAGAAGTGCTATTGCTGAGTCGAAGGGCACTTTTGTTATGTTCTAAAGTAAATTATATACAGATTCAACTACCCCACTATTTTTTCAGGTTTAATTGTGATAATGTGGTATTCCATTGTCAAAATAGAAGGATAAATTTTTTTTTAATAAGGATAAATATTTTTGAGAGGAAGGTGAAAATTGTTCATATTTATGGTAGCAATTATATAGGAGTATATAGGAAATCAACTTAATCACTACAAGAATCTTTATCCTAATGTATAAAAAACTTGGAATTACTATATATGAAATTCAAAAATAGAATTTTATAGATAGTCCCTTTTTCTGACATACCCATTGGTCTCCCATTCCACCTTGGCTTTGCCTTATTTCTAAAAGAAAATTGAGTTTAGGATCTGTAAATCAGAACTCAAGATATTTGGTTTTAACTTCCTCTCCAGAAACAAGGAGGGAAGGAACCAAGTGCTCACTTGAATGTAGCAGTTAGTGTTAACAGGATGTTTCTAAAAATTTTTTTTCTGTAAACTGATTGAAATAATAGAGACTCCTTCTTATGGATGATTAAAATATTTCAGAGTGTGACAAATCAATCATTTGAACTGATTTTTTTTTAATTCCCTTTCCTAAGTGGAAATATTTGCACCCAAAGACAAATGCTTAGCTAAATCTTAGTGTTTTTAAAAAATACACTTATTTTTGTTTTCACATCCTCATTATTTTTCAAAATGTACCTTCTTCCCAGCTAATGAACTTTACTCTTGACTAATTGTAGTTAGAGAATGCTTTCCTTCTTACTATCATAAATTATAACATAATTATACTGTAAAATATAATACTAAACTCGATTTTAGATTTTCAGCTGTTTTCCTAGTCTTTAAAACTTTGATTTTAAAGCCATACATACATACATACATACATGCACACACACACACATACACACATACATCATACCTCTTTCACTGAGCTGTAACAAACAAGATTCTATTGGGAAGTTTGTTTTGGTTTGTTTTGTTTGTTTTTTAATGAGTTTGATTTATATTGACAGTTGGCTTGCTAAAATTTTTGTCAAACATACCTAGCTTTTTTATCAGTGGACTATCTAATGAGATTGCACATTTAGAGAATACTTTAGGTCACTATTGAGAGGAACCTTTGGACTAAAAGAAGATGGTTATTTAGCTCACTTGTTCTCTATTCTTAGTAATTAAAAGCTAATTAAAATAGCAATAGGAATAAGATTCTAGATTGATTTCACAAGGATAGTGGGGTTTCTTTGATTTGGCGGTTCATGTTTGATTTTTGGTGGTTGAGGTTGGTAGGAGAAATGTGGTGAAGAATGATAAATGTGTATCTTTGAAGAACAAGGCCTTATTGAATTGCTCACTTTGGATATTTTATTTTGCAGACTCCTGGCATTAGAGCTCGTCCTGGGAAACTTCAATGGTTTTGTGAAAGATGTATTTCAAATAACCAGGTTTGTGTTTATTAGTGATTTATTTCTGAACTATTTTATCTTCTCTTGTTCCCTAAATATGGCATAGATGTGACCGTGAGCTGGAGTTCTCCAGTTTCCTAGGATCAGTGTGATAGAATAGAAAGAGTCCAGAATTTGGAGTCAAGAAAACACTGAGTACAAATCCCAGCTCAGGCACTTATTTTATTAGTTGTGGGACTGTCATCAAGCCGCCAAACCACTTTGAGCCTAATGTAAAGTGGAGACAGTATCTGTGGGATAACGCATGTAAAAATGAGCTATCATCACTTACCATTATTAGAGAATTTTAGAAAACTACAGCCGTGGTCCTAAATTGATGTTCATCTGTTAATGCCAGGTTGATTTTCTTACCCCACTGATTTGACAACCTAAAATTATTGCACTCCCCTCAGTCTTCCAGAGATTTTAAAGAAAAGCCTTCCTGTCTGGTAGAATTTCTCTTCAACTGTTCTGTGATACACACGGTACCTTATTATGAACTAAAACAGTAAATTGGGTGTGGGCAGAGTGGTTAGGGACATTTGGGGTGGGATTTTTTAGTTACAATGTAATTAGTTTGGTTAACTTTTTAACTATATCTATGTATTGTCCTAGAGTTCTTGAGTACTACCCAGCTGCTTGTTCCAACTCTGAGAAGTTGGTATGGACTCATTCTCCACAGGGTGCTTCTCTATCCCCTGTGCCACATCAGCCTGGGGTAAAGCCTAACAGAAAGGATTATTTTTCCTAAGTAACTGAGAATTGATTTCATGTGTATTACCAAATATTGTTGAGGATTTGTCAAGGATTTCTGTTTTAGATTTTAAAGACATTTTATGTAGCCATCAAGACATATAATGATCTGTTATTCCATGATTTTAAGGTTGAAATTCTGGAGAAATTGGTCGATTTGACACAGAAACTATTTGAATGTGACAGAGACCAAATGTACTACAATCTTTTAACACTCTGCAGTAAGTAATTCAGTAATCTTGCCTGTATTTTGCTTTGTCCTTATTTTTGTGTTTTGGTTTTGGGTTTTTGTTTTTTGCAATTAAAACCTTAAATTAGCAGTATGGAAGTAGAATCTTATGTGCTATATTTAATATCAGAGCCTTGCATTAAAAACTAATTAGTTTGGCAACATGGTGGTGCAATCTCTGCTACTGGGGCTGTTGAATTGCTTGAATTCCAGAGTTGGTACCTACAGTTGGGCTGAAGTCAGTTGAGTGTTTACACTAAGTCTGGCACCAATATTTCTATACTTAGGGAGTGGACAGCCACTGTGCTTCCTAAGGAAGGCAGTGAAGACCAAGTTGGGTTCAATCTACTTCTTTGCCACTTTACTTACTGTAATTTTGTTCAAGATTCTTAATCTTCATGGGCTTTCTTTTCTTCATCTGTAAAGTGAGGATGTTAAGCTAGATGGTCTGTAATTTCCTTCAGGTCTTGATCCTCTGACCTCCAGTGATGGACAGTTCATTATATAATGACCTATCCATGTTGTCCATTTCTGAACAGCTCTCATTGTCAAGAAGTTTTTATCATTTATTGAAACCAAATCTTTCTATGTCTTCTACATATGTTAATTCTACTTTTTTGAACTATGCATAACTAGTCTAATCTCTCTTAACACATGAGAAGCCTTCATCCAAAAAATATTGAGGATTTAGTGGATTGCACGTTCAACATGAGTCAGTCACAGTGATGTGGCAGCCTATAAAGCTAATGAGATATTGATCCACATTAAGAGCGGCATAGCTGCTTCTGTCAGAATTTGTCTGCAATATTGTGTTCTGTCTTGTGTGCCCCAATTTAAGGACATTGATAAACTGGAAAGTGTCCAGAGGAGGATAGCCAAGATGGCAAAGGGTCTTGATATTATGTCATGAGGAATGGTTGGAGGAACTGGTCATATTTGCTTTGGAAAAAAGAAAACTCAAAAAGGATATGATAGGTATATTCAAGTATTTAAGTCTGTCATGTAGATAGATGAGGGACTAGATTTCTTCCATTTGGCCCCACAAGGCAGGACCAGGAGCGGTTTGAGCTTGATGTTAGTTAAAAATCGGTTGGTAGAAATTAGAATCATCCCACAGTGGAATGGGCTACTTCAAAAGGCAGTGGGTTCCTCCTCCTCAGAGCTGATCTTCATTCAAGCACTAGATGACCATTCATTAAAAAATGTTGTTGTGGGATATCCTTTTTTTTTCTGTGGGCTGACTTGATGACCATTGAGTTCTTTCCAGGTCTCAAATTCCACCATCTTCATGTAAAATAGTTTTTAAGTTGCTCTACTCTGTAGACGCTCACTTCATCTTGTCCTTTTTCTCACGGAAGTGTGATGCCCAGAATTGTACCATCATGAACTATTATTACTATCTTCAAGTATTATTTGAGAGATTTTAATGGAAATAGGATTAGATGTGGTCTCCACTATTCAGAGAGGCAAATTACAGATTAATATTATGATAAAGCTATTATTATTACAGACATGTGATCTCACCCAGGCATGTAGATCACAACTAGAACCATGTTTGTTAGTTAATATGCTGTTTGTATTGATGCAGACTTAAGACAATATTAGATTTTTTGGGGGGTGTAATCAGTTAAGATATACAGGTGGTTTTCTCCTGAATTTCTTGATGCCTACGCATGCATTGCCCATTTTCTTCTTGTACAGTTGATTTGTTTAGGCCTATTGTTGACTTTGGCATATGTCCTTGTTCAGTTTCCTCTTACTGTCTTTGGCCATTTGGTCCAGTCCATCAAGATCTCTTTGTGTCCTGATTCTGCCTTCCAAGGTATTTGCTATAGATGTTCCTTTTATAGATTTTTTTTATTTTCTTAGTCCAAATCACTGGTAAATATGTAAGGTTAACAAAGCCCTCAACCTTCTTAAATAGGTTTCTTCCCTGTCAATCCATTAATCGCTACTTCTGCATCTGAATATTATATCACTTCCAAATATACTTAGGTATACCATCTTCTAATTAATATATTTGTTTTCTCTACTAGTATATTATGAGCCAGTGTTAGATTAGCGATGTCTGCAACATTTCCATGACTCACCAATCTTGTAACTAAAGAAAAAAAGAAAATATCATTAATCAGTACTTGTTGATCCATGCTGACTCAGTAATGATCAATTATAATAATCCTTCCCTAAGAATATAAACTTCAAACCCAACTCATAATAACATGCCAATAATTGATGTTAAGCTGTTTGGCTTTTAATTTCAATAAAGTTATTCCTTCCTCCTCTTTTGAAAAATCAACTTTTGCCTGTTTCCAGTATTGAGGCAAGGACAGGAATATTCTCTCTAACTCCTCAAAGATTACTGATAGCTCATCGGTTGCTACAAATTTATTTAATACTTTTGGATGTTGGTTTTGGTTTTTTTTTTTCCTTAGTTACACTGGGCTCTTGGGTCTTTCTCACACATTACACACCATTTCCCATCTCCATGCACTGGCATTCCATACCTTTATATGCCCTTCCTCCTAACTTCTGCTTCATATGTCAAAACTCAGTTCATTTGCCGTTTTCTTTTGGAGACTTTTCCCTGTCTCTCCCATTGTGAGTGCATCAGGCGGGCAACAAGTGTTTATTATGTACTTGTCATGATGATAATCTCTGGAGATACAAAGAAAGGCAAAAATAGTCCCTCTCCTCAAGGAACTTGCATTCTGATGAGAGAAATGACATATAAATAACTAGATACATAGAAGATAGATTCAGGGTGTGGTTGCGTTAAGATACTCTGTATATTACCTACTTATATTCATGTTGTCTCTCCCATAAGAATGTAAGCTTCTCAAGGGCAGGGACTGTTTTGTTTATTCTTTGTATCCCTAGCCCAGGGCAGAGCTCCTGTCATATAATAAGCATTTAACGTAGGCTTAATTCTTTTTGTTCATTTCAAACAGGGAATACCATCCCATCACCATATCTCAGTTATGGGTTATGTCACTGTGTGTTAGTACTAGGAAGTCAGTTATCTTTATCTCCTTTCATTAAGATCCCTACTTGGCTTCTGCTGATGTGCTAAGTATGCATGATATTGTCGTCTTGAGACAATCAGGGTAGTTATTAACTCTTATTAAGAAAGAGGTATTTGGTAAGAACTAAGGAATAACCTAGTAGAGAAATAATTCTTATTGGGTAGCTGGTGACAGTGAGCCTGGAGTCAGGAAGACCTCACTTCAGAACCATTTTGCAAACCTACGCAAGTCACTGTGCCTCTGCTTGCCTCAGTTTCCTCATTTGTAAAATGGGGATGATAATAATAGCATGTACTCCCTGGGGTTGTTGTGAGGATCAGATGAGATGATGATTATGACCCCTTAGCACATGGTCGGCTGGCACATAGTAAGCTCTATATAAATGTTAGCTATTTTTTTAAAATTTATTTTTAGTTAGTTTTGTGGACTGCATAAATTTTAATTGGTAATTTATTTCTGCTTCCATGGATAATTGTTTTATCATACTAAAGCAACTGGTCCTTAAGAAGCAATGTCATTTCGGGAGGGAATCCTACTTCCCAATGCAAATAGTCTCCACCAGCCAGTTGCTCAGTTTGACAAGCCATGTCTGCTGAGACAAGAAATATAAGCTAGAATTTATTAAATTCTGTCATACAAATCATCAATCAACAAGAAAAGACACAGTCAATTCTAGCTACTTAAATAAGTGGAAAAGGTTTGCAGCTTTATGTCATTTTAAACATAATAAACCACTTGCCTACTTTCCATTATTTTAGACCCTTAATGTATTATATCCTTCATATAGTCATCTGTTATATGCCAAAAGTTATTAAGCAGGCTTACATGAGAAATGGTCACTTCTTACAGAATTTCATTTCAGTTATGGACTTTTGAATTAAATACATAAGCAAGAAAAGGTCTTATGTAAACATAATTCTCAGAGTAGAGTAAGTAGACTTGAAACAAATCTTTTTTCTTATAATGTCCAGTAATAAGATTGCTATAGATATTGAAAGACAGAGCCATTTGCCTGTTTTGACTTTCTCCATTTCCTCTCAAAACCTCCCATCATATATGTAATTGATTAGAAGGCTCACCGAGGCGATTATTGGCTTTAGAAAATTGATTTCTAAATTCCTTTCCAGTGCAACAGTTATATGATTCTGCATAGCAACACCGAGGAAGATATGACTCTAGAGATGTATTTTGGGGTAGAGGAACATACATTTAATCATCTTGACTTGTAAGAATCCCCTAGTTTGATCAGGGGGAAACGGTTTCTTGATTAAAAACAATTATTTCCTTAGACAACATGTGCAAATTCTTTTGTCTTAGAATGGCAGTTTGGCATAATAGTAAGAGCACTGGCTTTTGCATTGAGTACTACCATTAGTACTTCTAAGCTTTATAACATTAGGCAAATCATTGAACTTCTCAGAGATACTGTTGTTTGTCTAGGCCTAAATGACCCAATGTACCATCTCTGTTTTCACAGGATGATTTTACAAGGTTGTCATAAAAAATGCTTTGTAATCATAAAGATGTTGCATGTGTTTGAGCTATAGTAACTATGACATGATAATAGTTACAGTAGTATAATGTGCGTTACAGCCTCATTGCTTACATGGCTTATGTATGGTTTCTGTGTCACTTGTTTTGAAATGCAAATCAGAAGGCTTCTGATTAAATGATACTGCTAAGAATAAATCTTGAAGGTTCTATCAAGTATCTAAATCTATAGATTTCAGCATTACTTCCTTTAATTTATAATAGCCTTGACTAGAAAGTCTGTATCCTTATTAAAAATTAGACCTTTTTATTTGCATCACTTGGACATTTGTGGTTTTGAACTTATTTGACATCAGGACCCAATCATATTTTGCAGAGGAAAATAATGACTGGCAGAGAGCTGATGCTGTTTGGAATAAAATGCAAGAAGAAAATATTATTCCTCGTCAGAAGACATTGAAGTTGTTGGGTGAAATCCTCAGAAATAACAATCAGGACGTTCCATTTGATATGCCCACGGTAATTTGAGGAGAGCAATTTTTCTTTTAAAAAATGTATTTGTGCATTATAGAACTTTGCAGATCTAAATATTATAGATATGTTTTTTATAGACATGATCTTTTTAAAAAATAAACTCAATAATTTTGTTTTTAAGTTGTGGTATGATGACCCACTTGAACCTGATCCTCACCACAGCGCTCTCCCCCTGCCCCCAGAAGCAGTCTTAAAGAAAGAGCTTATGAGTGCATGCCAGAAGAAGAAAAGCGAAGGTAAAGAAATAACTCTCTTCAGCTACATAGCAATACTTTAAATCCTTGCACAAAACACCAACTATCAGCCCCCAAATCTTAGCGATAGTGTCATCACCTTTGTTCTTACAGTTGGCATAGTGGCATTCCTCCCACCTCGTTCAGCTCTCCTGACCTTCTGTGTAGACTGTTGCACACTAGGATACAGGTCTTGACGCCTAATTTGCCCTCTGATCTTTTGGGGTGCTGTGAAAGAAGATTCACTTAGGCTTGCTGAGTAGGTATTTGAGGGGCAGTAAGAGTGAATTATTATTTTGAGGTGACCACAAGAACAGACTTTGAGCTGAAACAAGAATGGTATGCAGGGCCCCTTGTTTTGTAGGGATGATGATGGTTCACTTTTAGACGTACTGAATTTGAGTTGTTCAGAAATATGTAATTGGAAATATCCTGCATCAATTAGATGCTTTAGAATTCAGATTCAGAAAACAGTTCTACAAACTGGGATTCAGGATGTTCTGGTCATGAGAGCTATAGAATTCTCAATGGTGGAGACTATTAAGAGAGAAGAGTAGGCAGGTATATGCACGAGGCCTGAAGGAATAATGTAATTTATTCAGAGGAGGAAGAAGAGGAAGCATTCTTTGTTATAACGGTATTCAGCCAGAGGACTGAGGAGCAGAGATAACCGGATGGTCTTTAGCAAAGAGGACTGCTACCCAGCTGTGGCCAGTTTGGTCCCCTGAGAATTCACTTGAGGCACCAAGTGAGGCCTAAGGCCTAGCCTTAGGGGAAACTTCCATCAAAGTGGAAAGATTTAAATTTACCTTTTTTTCTCCTTTATATTCTTCTGGTTCTGCTTACTTCACTCTCCTTCAATTTAGATGTCCTAATCTTTTCTGAATTCTTCATATTCATTTCTTACAATGTAGTAATATTTCCTTCTTTTCCTGTACCACGTTTGGTTGCCATATTCCCAAGCAACGGGCATCTCTGTTTTTCAGTTCTTTATTATTACAACGAATGTGGCTATGAATATTTTGGGAAGGGGAAGAGAGGATAAGCATTTTTATAAAGCCTGCTACATGCCTGGCACTGTGCTGAGTACTTTCCAAATATTACATCGTTTGGGTGGTTCTGAGACTTTTATTTGACTTTTGGGAGCTAACTTCCTCTCAATAGAATCGCAGGGTAAGAAGGTGCTGTCATTTTAATCACTTTTTTTTCATAACTCCTAATCACTTTCCAAAATGATTAAACCAGTGTATGACCATTTGTTTATGGATATCCTTATTCTTCCACAGCACTTCTATGGTTGACTCCATTTTTTGTCACTTTTGCCAATTTGGGAACTAAAACCTCAGTTTTGATCTGCATCTCTGTTACTGTTAATTTGGAGCAGTCTTTCATGTCATTGCTAAAAATTTGCAGTTATTTTAAGAATCGTTTCTTCATATCCTTTGACCATTTACTTAGCTTGATCGTTCTTAAAAAAATAATTTCAACTATTGTGAAATGTCTTATTAAAAGGAAATATTAAAAAATTAAATTGTTAGGTTTATGTAAACAGCCAATATAAGTTTCATGTGACTACAATAGAGTATAGTATTCTGGGAAGTATATTTTATATAAAAAAATTTTAAACCCTTGTTATCCCAGCCACAGTTAATTTAATAATAATACGCTATTTGAAACTCCATTCTTACAGGCAGAATGGTAGATAATAAGGGTTAATTAATTTTTTAAACTCATTTACCTAGTTTAGTTTTCTCAAATCAATAGTTGCCTTGCACACATAGCAAAAGGAGCAAAAAAAAATTTTGTACCAAATGTAGCTGCTTTGCAACGTGAAATTTTACTATGTGTAGCAATTTGTAGCTTTCACTACTGGAAATTACATTTACATATTATATCCATACAGCAGCAGTCTTTTGAAAAATACATTTAGTACAGACATGATAATTTTTCACCAAAAGGTGGTAATTTTAGTAACTCGGGACTCAGTTTTTTTCTCTTGTTTTTAAAGTTTTACAAGATAGCAAACAATGACTATTCTTATTAATTATTCAAGGTCAATTAAAATATCTTATATTTTCCTTATATAATATACAATTTTACTGAACTTTCATAGGAATTAGCAAATGCCTTAGATACTGAGTTGTAAAATTGAATTTTAAAATTATTTCATGTACTGAAGAATGTACAGTGATATAAAAAATGGCAGTATACAGTTTCATAGTATTTTTTTCTGAAACCTACTATTTTATAAACACTGTCTTCACCTGTGATATATCATGGTTCATAGAGCCATAAGAGAAGCTCAGCAGTAGCTTTTATAATTGTAAGGAAATGATTTGCAATAAAATGATGATATCTCTTGGGAATACAATGTTACAGTATTCTATAAATAATTGTATTGAATACAAAATCTCATTTGTAGAATAAAAAATAAATTTAATAGAGTACTTCAGTAACTGTGTGAGGGAATATCTGTTTTATTTTATTTCAACTTAAAATTTATTACTATAGCCTTCTATGAAATATGATATTTGTCAAATGATTGAAATAAGCTTTATCTTTTCACCTTTTTTGGGAGGGTGGGGAGTAGTGCTCATAATCTACGTCTGGCTAGCTGTAGAATATACAATGTTTTTCACAAATACAGTTTTTCTACAGTAACTTAATAAGAAAAATAATTATAATTATAATAATGTTCATTGAACATTAATTTATATGTTATAGGAGAAATGTAGTTACCTATTTTAGCCCAGTCATTTCCAGATGTTGAAGTAAAATAAAATGTTCAAACCCAGTTTTTAAACTTCCTAGTTATACGTAGCAATGTTTTTACTCTTTGAAATGATAAGTTGTAATGTTTCTGATTTGTTCTTGGACTTGTCTTTACTGCCCTATACTGCCTTTTTTCCAGTAAAGATGACCTGAAAGGCCTATTGAGGAGGTGCCCCATTTTCTCATTCTGGTCAAAGATGTGAGCCTGATCTTGATTGCTGGTTTGAACATATTTAATGGCATTACCCTTTCTGAGCTTGCAAATATATATACTCTCTTAGGAATCCTTCAAATCAGCTTAGATTGTTCTTAAAACATTAGTGTTTAGTTCTGAGTTTGTGTGTGCTTGCTGCTATATTTGATAACAAGAGCCTTACATCTGTTGAAGGCCATATGTGACAGATCAGTTGTGCACCATCTTTACTGTGATGTGTTTGTATACAGTAGAGAGTGGATTATAGTCTCAATTGGATGTTTACAGCTAGGCAATTTTATTTGAGAAAAGTAAGTGACTGAAAAGTGTAGTTACTTCTCTTTGGGTAACATCTTTTCATTCACTGACAGTTATTGTGAACGAGTGAAATAAAACTGTTAATCAGTCAAACAGATGTTGCTTAGTTTACTTGTTAGATATCAGTATATTTGAAAATTGTATGTTTTTGTGTAAGTCCTGTCGTAGCCAAATAATTTGATCTCCCAATTCCAGAATTGTAGGCTACATTCACATTAATACTGTTGTGCTGCAATTCCGACTATTGTAACCACCCACCTATAGATTAAAGATAGCTTTAAAATAGTTCCTTTCCTTCACTCAGACTAAATCATATATCTGTGATTGGGGTTTAATAAATATTAGCAGGGTTTTTGAAACATTGGCTCATCGTAGTGATGGACCTAAATTTGATGGATTATTTTTATACTGACATGGATATATAATTTACTAAGTTATAAAAATCCAATGAGAATAATTTTTTAACAAAAAGAATTCAAGTTTAAATACATCCATTTGGTCTAACTTATATATGTTTTTAATGCAATTTTGTCCTGAAGATTAGGAGAATGAAAAGGATTTGTTTCAAAAAATTTTTTTTCTTTAGGTAAAATCTGAAAACCATTTCTGCCAGTTATTTGAAATTACATTTGTGGATGTTTTTCTTGTTTCCTGTTTCTTTGTAGATGCATATGCTATTTTTCTGGAGGCACAGAAGAAAAATGTTGTGTTTTCTGCACTTGCTTATTCCACAGTCATAAAATTATTGTTGGCTTCTGGTAGTCTTGATGAAGCTTTGAATGTGAAAAACATGTAAGTATATTTGTGATTATGATTGCTCCTTGTTTCTTTTAAATGTCACCAGTTGATTCCCAAGAAAATGCTTAGTTTCCTGTTATCTTACAGACTGAATAATGAGTTACTGCTCAATTATCCTCATGTACACGAGTGATTCCAGGTTAAAAAGTAATTGAAGTTTTAGAACAGTTCTTGTTTCTTTTTCTTATTTATTTCCTTATATAGCATCTGTTTGGAACCTCACTTTTATAACAAAAAAAGAAGTTAAGGAAAGTTGACCAAAGACCATTTCTGACAGCACATGCACCATTCCATACCCATAGTCATCCAGCAGGGTATTGAAAATAAGGAATGCAAGTTTCATCATCTATTCTGAACCCAGAATGGTCCTTGAAAATAACTTGAATTTTGCCATCTTTTCATGTTATTTTTGTTTATGTTATTGAGTTATTCTCCATATTGTTGCTCTGAGTCCACTTCTCACTGCTACTTGGGTTCCTACATGCTAATCTGAATTCATTGTATTTGTTGCTTCTTATGGCAGGATAGCATTTTATTACATTTATAGACCATATTTTACCCAACCACTTCCAGTCTATGGACATCAACTTTGTTACCGATTTTTATTTATTTTTTTTTTGTAAACCCACAAAATATGTATTTGTTATATGGGTCCTTTCTGTCTTTGAACACTTTCAAGTTTATGCCTATCTGTGGGGTCTCTGGTTCAAAGGATATGAACAATTTGATGACTTCTCCCATAATTCCAAAGTGTTTACTAACTACATCAATCTGCATTAATCTTCTTAAAGCCCTTCTAAAAATGAGTAATTCTGTCTTTTGTTGTTTTTTAAGTGCTCACCTTTTTAATAAAAACATTTTTCCTGTAGTGATATATAACTGTGAGTCATGGATTGGTATACTCTCCATTATTGAATATTTATATCTCTTGTATCTTTGCCACTTTGGGTATGAGAAGAAATAGAGTACTTTTAACTGTAATTGAAATTTGCCTAGTTGGCCTTTGATATTTTCTGTTACTTATTTCCAGAAATCAAAATTTTAAAAAAATTAACCATATTCTTTTAGCTTACAAATTTAGGTAGAAAAAAGAGGGAGACACTTTATTCTCTCTTCTTACAGAAATTATGCTTTTACTGATTTAACGTGTCCTAAACTAGTTGACAAGCCTTTATTATCACCAGTATGTTCCAGTCCATGTTAGGCACCAAGAATACGGAGACAAAAGAGTTAACACCACTGCTTTCAGAGAGCTTATGTTCTTTTGGAAGACGTAACACAGACCCAAATAAGAAATGAAAACTTGTAATTATATATATTAAAATACTTAAAGGAAACCTTGTTCTCTCCCATTATGATACATTTGTCTCCTTTTAATTTTTCTGTTTCTGTAGATGAGATGAAAGGATGTCTTGTGTTACAGATAGTAGCTTTTTAATTGAAAGGGATCTCAGAAGCCCTTTAGTTCAACACTCTCCACTCTACTCCTCCACTTTTTTCTCTCTCCCTCCCAGTTTTATAGATGAGCTACTAACACCTGATGATGCTTAGTCATACAGTAAGTAGCTGAGCCAGAACTGGAACTCAGATCCTCTTACAAATCTGGAAGTCATTTCCCTGTAGCATTCTGGCTCAGTGTATATCCTGGGGAGGTTTTATGTGTAGATTTTACAGGGATTTGGACAGCCATGTAGGACTTGACCAAGACAAACAGAAAATACGAATTTTAAACACATATTTAAAACAGGAATTTTAAATATGCATTTGGAATACATTTTCCTTAAATCTACTGAGGCTGAAGCAAAATAAGTGGCTCAAAAATGTTTTTATTAAATAGATATGTTTCACCATTTAAATATAAGGAAGTACATTTTTTTTCCAAAAATAATAAAAAGTAAAAAACTCTTGCCTATTCTCCTCATTTGGTACTTCCTCCGAAATAATGAGAAATGCAAGACCCTGGGAATAATGAAAGATGCATTTTGTCTTAAGAAATGGGAATGACGTGATGAGGTAAAAAGGCTAGAAAAAAATGGCAGGAGACCAGTAGGAAAATATAACATGTAAGAAACAGAGGCTTAGAAATTTGCATTTGTTTTCCAGCTGTGTTAATGCCACCTTGACATGTTGGGTCCCGTGGCAGCTGGTGATGCATGGATAGAACACTGGCCTAGAATTGAGAAGACCTGAGTTCAAATCTAGCCTCGCACTTAACTGGCTTTGTGATGTGATCACATCACTTAACCTCTGTCTGCCTTAGTTTCTTCAAGTATAAAATGGGGAAAAATAACATTACCTATCCCCCAGGGTTGTTATGAGGATCCAGTGAGATAATCAATTGTAAAGCATAGTATTGAAAGCACAGTACCACGTAGTAGGCAGTGTATATACTGATTTCTTGCCCCCCTTCCCAAACCCAAAGAGTTTCAAAGCCTTTTCTTCATCTTTTCCCTGTTGTAATCTTTTGAAAGAGTAATATGGCTCCTGTGTCCTGTTTCCTATGATGTTACCTAAATCACTTGTAGAAAGAGGAAGAAAAGTGCAGGAGAGCTTGAGTAGTTTTTCTCTGAGGTATCCTGCACAGTTAACTAGCCACTGTTGTCTGTATGATAGTTCTAAGCTCAGTCCTCTGATCTTCAGTCTCCCCTTTTTTCTCAGTTTATACCTTGCTGTCCTTCATCTTTATGGAGTTTTATCTCACAGCCATGCAGGACTGACCACTATGGTCTTTGCTGTACTATCCCATCAAGATAAGATGTCAATACCAAGGCCATTCTAATGGCAAGCTATCCCGTCTCCCTCTTTCCTGTGGACCCTTTTCTTTTGCAGTTTTTCCACTGTACTATAGAACTAGATGAGGAAATAATGTGATGAAACAATTCTAGTATAGGTCTTTGAGATTTGCATTTAATTTACATTCTCTACTTAAAAAAAACAAAACAAAACTGAATGAAGAGTCAATAGTCTTTCCTCTTTTCATTTTTGAGCTCTGCAGCCTTGGACAAATTGTTTTATTTCCATCTCTTAAATCAAGGAGTTGGATCAGATCAGTAAAAAGGGAATGTAGATTTTAAAAATTTGGTGATGAAGTAACTTTATTCTGACATGGTTTGACCAAAATGACCTATTGCAGGCTAGTGACAAGATAGCACAGCCCCACAGACAGCATAATCTAGCCCTAATGTCAGCCATGGCACAGTTACTCACAATTCATAAAAGAGCAGTCTGTCGCTATAATTACCTACTTAATGTCACTTGTTCAACCTTAAGAGCAACGATTTTTTTCTTATGAATTAAAAACTCGATCTTTGTTTTTATTATACCTTTGCTATCCTTTAGTGTGCTGTAGCTACAGTTGACCTCTAGTGATAGTTCTTTTAATTTTTTTTCCCACAAGGTTATTTAACCCTTCTAGCCTAGTAATGGAACCCCCGCAATAATAGTAACAGCTACCTTTCAATAATGTAAATGAAGGCAACTTTGTTTTTATTTTTCCTTGTTAAAATTGCTGGTTACAGCCCAGTTATACTCTTTGAATATATAGGGTAGGAAAATGTTTTGTTTTGCTTTTTGCCGAAGTTCCAGTTGTTATACTTTCTATGCATCACAATCAGAATTTCTCTAGTCTAAATTAAATTAAGCATGAGGAAATAATAATGGAATTAAAGCAGCAATGAATAATAAAAATTATAAAATTAGGAGTTTGATAAAAGTTAAGATTGTACTAATAAAAGAACATTGTAGTTTAGGGTTTTTACTGTCATAGTGATATATCTACTCTTTATTAATGTACCCTTCTCCCTTTGAATGTTCTAAGTTATTTTCTCTTGCCTCTACCATCCCTCTCTATTTTTATTTTTAAATAGATGCTGATTAGTAGTAGTAGTAGTAGTACATGTAGTAGATGTAGTAGTAGATGATGACCATAGCCTGGCAATTTTTGTTTTAAAAATAACATTCCATTTTCACAATAGTTTCGTGAGGAATTTCCCTATTCGTTTTATGAAATAAAAGTCTTAATTATTGTGTCTGTCTATCTCTCCCCCCCACCCTTTTTTTTTAAGGCCACATCCATTTCTTTCTGAAATATTTAACTTTTTAAAAAATTTATTTTTATTATAAGCCAGAAAGTCAGCTACAAACTTGAAATCATAAAATCTCTTACATACAGCTTGTTTTCAAAATTGGCATTAAATTTAATATGTTATTACCAAAATTGCCCTGCTTGTCTTTGTCCCCTTTCAGACTTCTGTCTTCTTAAGTGTATTTTTAAATGTTCCTTTGGTGTTCTTTTTTTTTTTTTTTGTATATCATTTTTGTTTTCCCTTGCTACTCAGACCCTGCAACCCAAGAACATGCTTGCTCCTTTCATTGCAACAAAATTATAGTCGAAACAAATGTGTTTTAAGGGTTGTGTCTGAAAATATATCTCTCACCATGTCACCTAGAGCCCTCTTTTCACCAAGAGGTTGAAACCATGTTTTGTCCTCAATCCATCTAAAGTCATGGGTGCTTATTGCATTGCTCAGAGTTCTTGATTCCTTTCAAAGATGTTTTCCTTTACCTTTTAGTCAGTGTAAATTGGTCTCCTAATTCTGCACACTTTATTCTGTTTTACTTAGTACAAGTTTTCCCGGGTTTTGAAGAGACTGTGTTAAGGAGTTATTTTATGGCATTTATCCATTTTAAATGAGTATTAAGAAATTCTCAGTAAGGCCATTCCCATCCAGATCCTTCTTAGACCCCTCCTCCAGTCACCCCTAACTACTTGACTACTCCTAGATCCTTCCCACAATCTTTCTATATATAAGGTCCATCTTGTCTCTATTAAGGTGTTCAACTTCTTATAAGCTAGCCAAGGGCTTAGATTCCTTAAGAGTCTGGCCAATATGACGGATGTTCTAATACACCTTGTCTTGGACTGAAAAAAAAAATTCTCAGTAGGAAATGTTCTAGTGACCAAGCATATATGGAATCCCAGTATTTAGTCATGTTATTGTTTGAAAAAATAGAAGTAACCCTATAGTGTATTGTTTGTTCAGAATATACAAGGGACTTGGATTAGATGGCCTCTAAGAACCTTTCCAGATCTAGACCTGTGATGATGGTGAAATGCTGCATTGCATTTTGGCCATGACCGGTATTCCTTGGGATGAAGCCAGTTTTCATTATTTAGAATAGTGCAAATTTCTCCCATTCACTGTAGTATGTTGTCTAAGCATAGCCCATAGGCAGATTTCCATCATTGTAAATACATGCTCTTCAACATTAGTTATGTCTTTCCTTGTAAGGTTATGAGAAAATATTCCAAATATTCCTTTCTCAGGATAGGTTGTATTTTCATCATTTTTGTAGATGCGTTTATATTAAGGAATGTTCATTTCTTTGGTCTAACTGCTAAAAATGAAGAGTAATGTAGATTTTCCCTCTAAAAAACCAAAATTTTGGATCATAAGTAAATAATTTTCAACAGTTTATGTACCCTGATAAGAATGCCTTTTCACATTGCCACTTTGAATGCTGCTATTTGGCCTTTATTTAGGCTATATAACCAATATAATGCCTCAAAGACCATTCTGTGTTATACATACTATGAATTTTTTGCCAAAGCCTCAGCTCTTTAGAGTCTGGGGAAAAATTGGGAGTGGGGAGCTAGAAGGGTTAAAAAAAAAATTACTATCTTAATTTGAGACTAGAAAAAACTTATATCTCAGTGATATCTAAAGCAAATCTCTGGTTCTTTATAATCTTACTTCCTTTTAGGTAAGTATGCTGTACACAGAGTAAGAAGTTTTTTAGTATTGGAATGATAAAAAAGCTTTTATGGTGGCGACTAATGTTTATTTAATCGTGATAAAGATTGGAGAAAGTAAATCCTTTACTATATGCAATTTATGGTCCCATGCTCGAGTTGTTGACTTGACTTAAAGGCTTTGACAGATGGGACAAAGGGAAAAAAGTCAAACTGAGCAATGGGTGCTTTGGGAGAGATTAAGAGGATTGGTTGGGGGAGTAAGAAAATCCTGCATTCATTGACTGCATTGGGGAACCTCAGAGGCTGAAAGTGACTGAGAGGATAGTCTTGTTGTGGTGTCTTTGGAGGATTTTCTTGGATTGATGAGAATAATTTAGCAATGACCTTGCTTTCCCTACAATCCGCTCAGGCTTAGAAATTCAGGTTCATAGGCTGCTCAGTTGTTTGTCACAAGAACATCCATCAGTGAGTTTTTATCTTGATTTTTGATATGGCAAATGGCAACAATTGCTTTTGTGCTTTTTTTTTTTTTTTTGCCTGTGGAGATTTTTTTTAATCTGGAAATGAACCTTGTAAAGTTATCCCTGGGTATTAAGGCTGTCTAAATTTCATTAGAAATAGTATACTAAAAGCATAAAATTAGTCTATTTTTAAAAACAAGTAGGTCTTAGTGATCAAATATTTCTTTGCTCTTGAGTTAGAAAAGTTTTTTAGCTTAAGGATAACACAAAATTGATATGTCATTTCCATTTTGATGTGGCAAAGGCATTAGTACTACAGCATATTCAGCTTAAAAATTGTATGCATCTACATGACAGAAATTTGAAAATTAATCAACCAAATGATATGGTGTTAGTTCATAATATGCTTTAGTTTATATTTAAAATATACAGTGCTGAAAATAAATGTTTCAATTTTATTACAGAAAGAATAGTTTTACATTTTATAATTATGGTGAACGTAAAATAAAAAGAGGAAAAAGTATCCAGCTTAGGATACAGCAGAACAATGCAGGGCATGCAGTTATTTTAGTCATCTAATATGTCAGCATTCAAGAATCTGAACCGATTGTTTAAAAAAAATCTTGTACTTTGTTTCTTTTGTTGCTCATTTCCAACTTTGTCATCTGTCAGAATGCAAAAAAAAATTATCCTTCTATAACCATTGACAGGATAACACAAAAGCTGTCTCCAGGTCGATATTTTGCAGCAATATTTTTAACATACGAACAGTAGTTTTTATAATTTCACCTTGGTGCTCAACCATTTATTATCGTATCAGAAGCATGTCAGTAATTCCTTTCTAAATGTCTGCTTCTTTTAGTGCTGAGACCCACATCAAGGGCTTCACACTGAACGATGCTGCCAACAGCCTCCTCATCATAACGCAAGTTAGGCGGGATTATTTGAAAGGTATGTCACAATGCTTGACCTTTACGTCACATTAATGCCTCTGCAGATTTTTCTTGTAACGCCCTTCGAATACTTGGATAAAGGAGTCCATTTAGCAAATTACCTGCTTATCAAGAGCCTTTTGTGGTAGCTGAGAGACGTAAATTACTGTACATGCATTTATAATACAGCTTGAATATGAATGTACTTGTCATTTGACCACTTAGTCCAGTTTCCATTCCATTTAACACAAGATGGGTTTTCTTAAGATGAATCACAGCTCTTCAGACATGCAAAATTTGTACTCCAAAACGAGAGAAAGTACAGGCTTTCAAGTGCGTTAAAATTCACAGCACAAGTCATTTTGCTTTGGAAATTAACATACTTTAGAGCATCTGAAACAATTCTCAGCAGTTGTTTCTTGCATATTGTGTTGGTTGTGTGAGATAGCAAATGAGTTAAATTGAGTGTTAAATGTGGATGATTGTGCACTAAATGATTATAATATTGATTTAAAAAACTTAATCTAATACTTTTTTAATAGTTCACAATACCAACAGTAATAAAATGTAGAGTGCTTGTCTCAGGGTTTAGGATTTTTAAATCAGTTTTAGTAAGGGATCTCGGAAATGGTGGTTGGGTTATTGAACTTGTATTGAGTCAAGATGGTGTCCTTTTTTATGGTACTGCTATTTTCTGTTTTTGCAATGTAGTTTTGATTTAGAACTGATGAGGCTTATTTTGCAAGGAGATATGGTCTTCAAAACAAGTATCTCTTAACAGTATCCCTTTTTCTTCCTCCCAGCCACAGTGTTTGCAATTTGACAAAGCTGTGATTACTTACATAGGTTAGAGATCTCCCAGGTTAGATGAAAATGCTCCCGTTAACTGTTTTATTACGTTCTTGTATTTTTCTTTAGTAGTATTAAAATACTTTACCTATGAGTTTTTATAAGGCGGCTTTAGACTCCTGTGTGAAATGCACGCGCAGCCCAACTGTAGTGCTGTAAGGGGGAACTTAGTATATTAGCTATTCATGACTTCATTTATACTTTTAGTTAAGCCCAAATTTGTTTAGAGATTAATTTTTTAAGTTGTTCAATGTTACCACCCTATCATTGATGCCCTTAAAGTCCTTCTCCCCCAGTTCCAGTCTTAATCCTTCCTTAGTCAGGGCAGTCCAGGCTGGCTTTCATCTTTCTGCATGTCATCAGTAAGGAATATTGTATATTAAATGGTGTTGGGGAGATAGTTACGATAAACAATTTTTTTTTATTTCTAGAGCAAGATGAGGTAGAGGACATGAGCAGAGTATAACTTTATGTAAAATTGATCATTTACTCAGAATGTTAAATATTTCAAATGCATCAAAAAATCAAAATGAGACTATATAGGCAAGTTCATTTTTGGTACACACCAGATGGCTACTTCTTTTGACATGAAAACAGAAACTAGAATACTTGAGCTTTACAAAGTTTTTATACAGAATCTGAGTATGGATATGTTGTTTTAGCTGCCTCCTGTCTTTATAATTAGTATATGGTTAGCCATTAATTGTGTGGTGTCTTATATTTGACGTTGTATCATGGATCATTGTCTTCTCCCTCGCTATCAACTATAAGCTCCTTGAGGTCGGGACCATGTCTTTCACTCGTGTACTTTTTTATGCTTCATTTTCCTCCTCTCTTTGCTTCTGGCTAATATTATGGCACAGGGCTGAGCTGATAATTGGTGCTCGATACATAACTTTCTTTCTGTTCTATTTTTAGATTGTCATTACTCATGAAATAGATGTGGATATAAAGAAACAGTGGCAGAAAGCTGGCTCAAATTAGGCAGCTGTCCTTCTCCCCCCCTTTGCTACATTGCTCCTACACTCATTGGCAGCCCCTCCTTCCACAGGCCATATGGTTTACTGCCCTTGGCTATCAACTACCCACATACCCTTTTGGATCTCCCTAAGACAGCTCTTCTGTAACCCTCGTGTAACTTCCATGTCCTCATTCCCCACCCACTGAAAGAAATGAAAACACTTTTGTCTTCTTCGGTAAACACCCTTAGAACTGATTTGATGAGCCAATTTGATCCTCTAGTTAGAGAAATTTTTTAATGCCTGCTGATAATTTAGTGCCCCTTGAAATACCTATTTTATTTTAACCGAGTGCTTTCCTTCATTAATGTGAGAGTTTGCTGGGAAAGGAAGAATGGTTTTGAGAAACATTTTTCCAGAAGTTCCTGAAATCAGTGTAAATTGTTACTTCCAAGTTCACTAAACTCAAAAGGCTCACCATTGCTAGGGGCATGGCTTCATGTTTTGTGAATTTGGGGGAGAATAAGTAAAAGTTCAACTGAAAATTGTAATTTTCATGAGGAAAAAAGTTTTATATATTTGTTGGATTTAATAATGGGCAATGATATACTCAGTGATAGGGCCTATTCCTGGATTCATTATGGCTTAGTGTTCTCTTTGATAAAGTTGCATAAGATATTCCATAAAAATGAGGCTACTGCTTACACAGTTACAATGAAAGCAAAGGAAAAGGTTTTAGTCTAATTCGTTCACTTTAGTTTTCCATAATTTTGTTCTTTTCTAAATAAAATTTTTTTTATTAACTAGTACACATAGGTATAAGAATTGAACACATCTTTCTTGCTATGTTTCTCAACACGGAAATCTGCATAATTTACAGAACAATTTTAATATGTTCCTTTGGCTCCTGCTGTTATCATTAATACTGACAGCATCACAGTTAATGAAGTTTAATAAAAATGGTTATTAGAAGTTTGTAATAATCATATCTTTAAGAACTTAATGGAGTTAGAGTTTATGGAAAAATATTGGGATTGGAAGAATTTGAATGTCGAGTCAAAAGTCCTACGTTCAAATACTGACTCTGCATAGAACAATTAATCTTTGCCCTGGAGAAGCTTATACATAACCTCTCAGGGCCTGTTTCCTCACCTGTAAAGTGAGGGGATAAAATTAAGTGATATTCAAGGGCCCTTCTGGCCCTGAAACCTGTGATTCTTAGGGGCTTTGGGAATTTTCACATTTGTGGCAGTTTGGTAAAAAATAGGCGCTCAATGAAGGTTTATTAGATTGTTGGGTTTTCTACATTTTTTTATATTTCTCCCTTGGACAACAATCTTGGGATTTAATTCATAATTTTAACTTTTGAATTAGAATTTTATTCTATCCCATCATTTGGAGTTAAAAATTTAGAGGAAAAAGCTAGCTTATATTTCCCCTTGTCAGTAATTTTAAAAAAAGCTTTAAAAAAAAGTTTTCACAGTATAGGCAAGCTTTCAGGAATCCATGGTTTACACTTTTTTAAAAAATATTTTAAAAGTAAGGCAAAATGCTTGAAAACACTGAGTTTATGAACTTGTCCTGCTTTTTTTTTCTTTTCTTTTCTGTCTTAGATGCTTTGACTACGTTAAAGACAGCCTTAGATTCTCATCAGGTACCTTCTTCACTCTCGGTTACTCGCCTTGTTCAGGCTTTTGCTTCAAAGGGTGATAAAGAAAGTATACAAGTAATCGAAAAGATGGTAGATGGCCTTCAAGATTCAATTCATCTTTCTCGCATGCTTTTTATCAATAATAATGCCTTTGCAGAAATAAAGAAGTAAGTATTTTCAAATATCATTTAATCTTCTTTTATTGGAAATTGGTGAAGGAAATTACTGTCATCACTATAACTTTCCTTTAAGTTTAATCCTTTTATTATTAATTGGGTCTAGCAACCCTGTAAGTTACATGAGATACTGATGCCTTGTAAGCAGTGAGGAATTGAGGTTTGATGTACTTTTCTTATTTTTACTTCCACTATAAACAATGACAACCATTTGTATTTGAGGACCATACTTCTTAGGCCCTCATTCATGCATATATTAAGCATATCCAGCTATGTTATTCATTCTAACATTTTGTTCTAAAATTGAGTAATTTGGGTGCACAGTTCTTTGCTGTGTCAAATAGCTCTTGAAGTTACCCTGAGAATTCAATAAGTACTTGAGTTTTCATAAATCACAGCAAGCATACTTAATTTACATGTTTTTTTTTAAATTATCTTTCATTTTGGAATTAAATCATTAAATTTAGGGTAATTATTAAAATTAGGGTATGATATCCTTTAAATAATGTTAATTTACCTCTAGTACCTTATCTAACTTTCCTGTGATATGGTATCACAATATGATTTGTATAGTAAAAAAAATTATGGACCTATATATAATCAGAAACGCACAGTCTTACACTCACTTATTTTAACTGGTATTTTTTTCCCCTCTTTATTAGAGTGTCTGAAAATATTTTTCTTTCAGGCTCCAAAAAGCAACACTTCAATACTTCTCATATAATCTCATATAATTAAGTCACTTAAGAGAGGATGCATAACTGGTTGTGATAGGTCCTAGGACCAAAGGAAAAATAAGATGAGTTCAATAGTCCCTGTGCAGGCCAATTTAAATATTACATAGACTGTGGTTTCATATTCATTTTAAAATACAAGTTATAAGAAGTATGGATGCTCTGGTAACTATTTAACTCTAAGGTACCTTGTGGTTAATTACTATTCCTGGTATGTTAATGCTATAAAATGTTTTAAAATTCAGCAAAGATTTCTTTTATAAATAGAATATTAGACAAGTAACTTTTTCCTTTTACCTTACCATAAGTTTTTAAATGTTTGTTCAATTTAACATTAATTTTCATTTTTTGAAATCCTTTGTGCCAAAATATATATTGACTGAATTTTAAGCCACTAAAATTTTTAAAAATGTTTTCACAATAATTCATTTTTATTTACATATAAAGGGAAAATATTCTCCACATTTCAGTTATACCAGATGGCGTTTAGAGTCAAACCTTTATTGACTTCTGAACATGCAGTTCTTAGTGTGTTGAGGGTCTTCAAACCATTGTGTGTTATTCTTTTCATGTTGTAGCGTACCCCCTTGTAGTTTACCATATTTTGTATATGATAGTTAAACCTTCCAAAGAGATGAAAAATTAAAGCCTATGATTTATGAAAATACTTTGAGTTAAACTTTGTTTACTTGAGTATTTCTATTCACATTGCCATTTCTGCATCTAAGACAACGTTTTATAAAGACATCCATCACGTTTCCTTACTATATATGGTAGAGGTCAGAGTATGTTCTCAAAAGAAATCTAGTTGTGTTTATCACTGTTTATTCTTCCACTCAGTAACCAAGAAGATCCACTAGGTTTCTACCCTTTTTTACTATCCACAATGTAATAGCAATGTGTTTTTTTTTAATGTCCTCTTTTCATTGTCTGTATGATGTTACAAACTAAGTCAGCAAAACTTTTCCTTCGCAGCAACAACCCAGATGCCGCAGTCAAATTTCTTGAGGCTTTATTTACTTCTGGGCCTCTGGACACTGATAAGCAGCAGTCGAGTATTGCCTACGTGTTCAGAAAAGTACTAGAAGAGAAGTTGGAACCAGCTACTGAGAAATGTAAGTTAATTACGTTGTGTAGTGCTAAATTTATAAAAATGACTCTTTTATGATTCTAATGAAAACTTTTACTTCCTGTGTTTCAGTGAGTATCATGGCAGAGAGACTGGCCAATCAATTTGCAATTTACAGGCCCGTCACGGATCTGTTTCTCGAGTACATGTATTCAGGCAGGGTGGATGATGCAAAAGCTCTACTGCAGGTAATAGCATCCCAGAGGTGAGGCAGTCCTGCTTTTAGTTTATCCTCGGGCGTATAGAGAGCAGAGCCCAGGAGGAGGGGATCTGATGCTAGGGCCCAGCAGTTGCCGTCTGTGCCCTGGCAGCACAGCCCTGGATGAGAAGCCAGAGTCCTACACTGTGAAGGTTAAAAGGGGCCTCACTGCGCAAGAGAAGAAAGGCTGGCTCTCAGGCACTTAGAAATGTCTGAACACGAGCATTTTCCAGAAATCCTGTGTGAGATCAGTGCCTTGGGGCCTTTGCTCATTTTGATAAAAATCCTTTCACACGATATCACAATCTGTTTTCATTTCTTCCCTTAATTTTACTAATGTTCTAAATACTGTGCATCACTGTAGCAACACAGTTTGCAAACAAAAAGTAGGAAATGTTTGCTTTTCACGTAAAGCCTCTCACTTGAATCCGCAAACGTTCTCGGCACTTTATTCAGGGTTTATTAAGAGTTGAATTTGCTTTCTATTCACTTGTGTGTCACAGACACATTAAATGACAAATGCAGGTCTCTGTGGCCCAGAGCCTCAGTTAAATTAGCAATCTTCAGGGAACGAGACAACCGCATTCATGCCATTTTAACAGCGCTAAATATAAAGCGGCACCAAGTGCAGAATGAACTGTGGGTGATAAGAGCTGCCACCGGCAGTGTACACAAACAGGCACAGACGGGGAGTCTCTTCCCAGCAGGTGGCAGTCAAACAATCACGGGGATGCCGGGGATTGCTGTGTTTGTGTAGACTCCCTGTGTCAAAGTGAGGCCTGTTACCAATTTCTGATAGTAAATACGACTCTGTTCACTTAGGCTTTTGCCAGCTGTTAAGTGTCTTAAGTACGAAAAAAGGAAGGCAACCCTTGCCCACCCATTGGAGCTTTTCTGTGGTCTTTAAGGCCATTTGGCTGTTAAGCGGAAGGAAGGACAGGAAAGGAAAGATATTGATAAACAGTATGCCGTTTGTAATAGAACAGACGGGCCCATTTCTATGTCTGTATCCATGTGCTTAAGCGAGAAATTTTTTCTGATTTTTTTTTAAAGAATGAATTTCTTTTTATTAAAAACAGTAATCTTAGAATCTTTTTCATTTTATATTTTTTCATATTGATAAATAATGTATCTTTAAATGAAAATATCTATCTCATTATATTTTATGTCAAGTGCTCCATAAATTATAAGGTGGTATAACGTGTTTGTAGTTGTTGGCTCTGAGGATAACGTCATGTTAGGCTGGCCCTGTATGATCTATCCATCTGCTTTCATTTAATCTCTGAACCATTTTGGGGTGATAATCTTTAGTGAAGATGAGGCTGTGCAGGCCTTTTGTAAGCCTGTTATGACCCTTGAATCTTGAAGGACTGTTGTTTGTCTCAAGTGCCCCAGGATGACGATCCCCAGCATCAGTGCCAACTCCACCAAGTGCTGCTCGAGCTTACGGCAGCCTCAGGGAGGGCGTGGTTCCCACAAGGCACTGCCCACCCCACATCAGGACCCTTTAACTGTGTCCGCCCCTTGAGTAGAATGAAACTTCAAATGATAAACCCTCTCTTCAGGCCCTTTTACCACTTTGTCAAACAGAGAATGGCCCACTGTAGGTCATTCTTGGATCATGGAAGGAAGAATACCTTATTCAACTGTGCTGAAAACTGCCGCTTATACTGTACATATTCTGTATCCCCCCCAAAGTGTTTTTTATACTATTCCATTTCACATTGACAGTGTAAAGCTTGTAAAAGGCAGTGTGCTTTTAAAAACTTATAAGAATGACATCTATGATGAGTGTAAACTAAAATATTTTCTTGCCATATTTGATTTTACTATAGCTTCTGAGAGGGGATAGACACTTGATTTATCTGGTCTGTCACATAAACTTTTTTTTTTTTTTTGAGTTTAACTTTTGTCTCTTTCTCAAGCACTGGCTGTCTGTTGCAATGAAAGCCTTTTATAAAATAGAGAGATTGAAATCAGTCCTTTTGTATGCATAAGTGTAGGTAATTATACTTTAAAGAGAACTTGCTTTGTACATTTTAATTTTTATAAAGAAACGAGCAGTTATCTCCCTGACACCTTATTAAATGTATAATTAACCTTATGATCCCTAGCTCACTTGTGAATGCTTGGCAGTATAATTGGAGAGGAATAGTGTTTCTTTTTTTCTCTTTCTTTGCAGTCCTAAACCTTATTCTGTGGATGTTGAAGCATTAGTTTAATTTTTTACTGTTCTTTTTAAACAAACTTTATACTTGCAGTGCCAAGGACATCATTTACAAAAGCTTGGCATGGGTTGTACTTGTTTTCTTTTAAAAAATAAATGATCAGCTATTAGGCCTTACTGGTAGTAATAATATATTGCTGTATTATTTTGAACTCTCTTAATTGGAAATATTCACCTTAGTCTGCTTGTTGATGAAGAACCTGCACTTATTGAATCCTGTTTTAATTTTTCTCTTCCCTTTTTAAGAGGTGTGGTGCAATAGCTGAACAAACTCCAGTCCTTTTGGGATTTTTTTTTAAGAACTCTAAGATCCAAGGACAGGTAATATGCTTTACAGGTTACCTCCTCTATATCTTTATTGTGAGTATTAAAATCAAGTTTGGATATGTTGAATTCCAAATTATTGCTTGTCTGTTATAGATGCAAGGACCTTTTGTAAAAGTACTTTTATTCTAAAATGTCTGTTTCTATAAAATTAAAATTTCTAATTGACATTAAGAAATTCTATGAAATAGGAAATGCGATGAAAAGATCAGTATCCCTAATATCTTGGGAGGAGAGAAAGGGAGCCTGTTTTTTTCACTCATGTGAAAATTTTTCTCTTTTTGTTTTTGTTTTTTGTTTTTTTTCCTATTTGAATAGAAACTGTTCTCTAGTACCCTTTTATTTTCTAGGGTATTCCTTTGAGTCCATCTCTGTAGTTGTATTAGCAGCGTAGAGCAGTTCTACTCATTGAGTTTTTTGCTTTTATGGCTATAGATTGAGCTCTAAGAAATAGCCGATGAAAATGTGAATTTAAAACTATGTACCATTTATGTTGTCCTCACTGTGGTGGAGCTATTGACAGGAGCTAAGAAGGGTACAAATAGTGAGTTATGAATATTTGGTGTTCCCAATTATGGTCAAAGCACCTGTGTTCAAATGCCAACTTAACAGTGACTACCTTTGTAACTTTGGGCAAATGTCTTAACCTCCCTGGGCTTCAGTTTCCTTAGCTGTAAAGTGAGAGGTTGGGTTGGGACCCTTAAGGTCTTTTCTCCCGATAGATCTGTGATCCTAGGAGGACACCAGATACATCAGTTTATTTTGGTTTCATGTCATTGTGATCCCGTCTCAGGCTTAAGTGACTGTAAAAACTTCAAACACCCTAAAGACCTAGCGCCTACAGTCTTGTTACTGTAAAATGAGCATTGAAAACCATTATCTGCTCCTACTTGGATTGAGTACATTGTGTGATTTCAACCTGACTTGACAATAATAACATTTTGTTTATGTGATAAAGAAAAAAATGTCCTTCATATTGCCACAAAGCAAGTTCCTCTCATTATCCTAAAGAAGCATTTGAAAGCTGTGACTTATGTGTGAAAATGTAAACTGCATAGGACTTTGATCATCGTTGTTATGTCTTTCTTAGAAAAATGGCCAAATTGAGTTTAAAATATAATAAATTTAAGACACATGTACCCATTCTGCTACTCGAAGTATGTCTCCATCGTGCTATTCTGAAAAACTCCTAATGTACTGTTAGTAAGAGATGGGATAAAAGATACATAGTGACTTAATACATCCTCTGAAAAGTCTCCTCCCCCCCGCTCCCCCCAGGAGTAGCATGGAGATATAGGAAATCATGGAGAGGGCCAGGGCCAGAAAGGGCTACCTAAGGCAAATAAAGGAAATTGCTTTAAGTGGCCTGTACACATTTTCTGCTGTGATTGAGTACGCACATCTTTAAATCATCATTGCTGTCTGTTGTAGAGATGGGGAAAGGGCACAAAACTTTAAAAAGCACATAGCTACTATTATTTGTTCAACCACGTTGGGATAGATGCTTGGACGTATATTTTTGTTATCTACTAAAACTTGGCAGGACATTTGTAACATCATACAATTCAGAAATAAAATGAAAAACACAGTTTTATATACATATATAAAACTGAGTTGTTCACATTTCATCTAAATGTTTTAGGCGTTGCCCTTCCTGCTCTATAACTATTTAACCAAATTCCAATAGGAGCAGAGATTTAGAACTAGAATGACACTCGATGTTATATAATCTAGCCCAGTGTTAGTTGATAAACCAAATTCACCTATCCCATGTATGAAAGCACGTCAGACCTTGAACTTAGGAAGAACTCAACAAAAATTGCATGTGTCTGGGTCTCCTGACTCTGCTGCAGTGTCACCACCTTAAATGTTCAACGTGCCTCACTTTGCAGATGTGTAATCCAAGGCCGAGTGAGTTTAAGTGACTTAGCCAAGGTCATACAGGTAGATACCAAGTAAATAAGGTCAGGATTCAGACCCATGTCTTTCACCTCTAAAGGCCTTTTCCATACAGCACACTGCACTCACTTTTAAAAACTGAACATATATTTAAACAGTTTTAATGTTTGGAAAATAATGAAGTCTAGCATGTATGTAAATGTAGCTGAATTAGCATAATCAGCATTGAGATCTTTTTTTTTAATGATAGTTTCTTTTTTTCCTCCCTACATTATTGAGTCTGCTTGTAATATGAAGAAATGGAAAAGAGAAAGTGGCCTTCCAATTGAGCTGTCTATTCTGTTGTATTTATTACCAAAAAGACTTTCTGAAATAATGGGCAGGTGTCAGTGTTGTAATTTTATGATTCTTTATTTCGAGTTTATGGTAATGGATTTGTTACGTATTTTAATTTTCTAGACACATATTCTGAAATCCTTATTAGAAGTGATTCCTGAGTTAACTGCACATCTTCAAGTCTACAGTTTCCTCATGAGAAGCTATGGTAATATACTAAAATTCACAGGGGGTATATAAGATGTTTGTTGTATATTGTTACGTACATTCAATTTTTAGTTAATGAATCAAATACCAAAACCTCAAACATCAGCCAAGTTATTCAGTTGGTTTTCAAATTTTATTTTGTGATTTGGGGTCTGTTTCCATTATTCAAAAGTTGTATGATCCCTAGAAGAAGACCACATTGGTTCCAAGGCTTTCACTGAACCTGAACCCAGTTTACTTCTCAGTACCTAGTGCCAATCCTGTCTTCATCAGGATCCTTCAGACTAGAATGTAACATGAAATGGGACAACTTGAATCAAAGCACATTTCTGCCTTTAGACTGCTCCTATGCCAAATAACCCACTATCCTGCTTCTCACTTGCCTTGCCCATCCCCTGTGAAATAAGAGCTGCCTTTCAGTTAATGAGTGCTACTCACCATTAACGCTATTCTAAAACTCAGAACTCCTTTATCTTCCTTCCTGGTGTGGAAGGAAAGCTAGTCTAGCTGATGGGACATGTCTGTGCATCTCCCTTCAGAGCTTGGTTTGGTATAGAAAACCTCTTCTGCTTGATTGTTCTTCATAAATAAGAAATTATCATATAACCTTTGAAAACCAGAAGATTAAATTCAATCTCAGTGTTGTTTACCCTTTAAAGTTTGTGGGTTTTGTTTTTGTTTTTGTTTTTTGTTCTGCCTTGTGCATACCTCTGAAAATACATTTCCTGCTGGAGCTGCTAACAAATGTCAGGGATTCCAGGTATCAAGAAGGCACCCTTGTGCCGAGGAACAGATTCTCATGCACTAGTGATGAGGAATGAATGGCTGGCTTGTTGGTATTACTTTTTTCACATTTCATCCAAATGTTTTAATGAGATAGAGAGAAGGTACTGTGTTTTCTGCTTCTCAAATTTCAGAACTCTTTGTAACCATAGTCATAGGATGATAGATTTAGAGCTAGTAGGAACCTCTGATCATATAGTTGATCCCCTGTAATGGTGCAATCTAGGTGAATGGTGAATTGTGCTATTTTTTATGAAGAAAGAGAGGAAACAGCAGATATGGTAAGCAAATTATAAAGCCAGCTCTTGGGTTTTTCGTGTTTTGAGAAGGAGATCATTGTCATGAATGATTCAGAATGGATGATTCCAAAGTCGTTCACCTTCAGTATTTGTACAATGTGTTTGTAGCCTTATATTTCAATATAAGACAGGCAGCAATTATGATCCTAGATTTGGAGGTGGAAGAGACCAAATTGAATCTCTAGTCCAAGGGTGGGGAACCTGTAGCCTCAAGGCCACATGTGGCCCTGTAGATCCTCAAGTGCGGCCCTTTGACTGGATCCAAACTTCATTTGTGAATAAATCCTCTTAATAATTAATTATTTTTATTTTATTATTAATTATTAATAATCCTGTTACTAAAAGGATTTGTTCTGTAAAACTTCAGTCCAAAGGCCGCACCCAAGGACTTAGAAGGCCACAGGTTTCCCACCCCTGCTCTAGTTGGATGCCCTCATTTGCAGATGAAAAGAAACCCGAGGCCTAGAGAAGCCACCCAGCTAGTAAGTGATAGGCAAGATTTAATGGCTGTCTTTACTGAGTCCTCATGGGGAGACAAGAAGAGGATCAGACATGGCCCACTTCTGCAAGGAGCTTATAAGCGAGTTAGAGAAAGACTGATACATGAGAAATATCAAACAGTCCAGTGCAACGAAGGATAAGTTCCCAAATTGTTTGGTATGTTATTGCAGCATTGTACCAATGCAAAGGATCAGGAGGCCAGGGAAGGCTTTGTTTGAACTTTGAAGGGGAATGACTAGGAGCTGGTGTGTGGAAGGTTGAGGGGTTATTCCAGATGATTCAAGATTTGCCCTCTTATTTCCCAAAGAGCCCAGAGTTTTGTGGGGAGGGGGATGGGTTAAGTGCCTGTAGAGCAGAAGGCCTCTTTGCAGTGAATAGAGGAAGATGAAGACAAAGCAAAACAGAGTCTCTCCTTGCAGAGAACTTGAAATTGAAGCTACTTCCTGCTTGGGTACTAGGTTATAAACCTGGCCTTCACGGCCAGGCTGCAGACACATCAGGGATCTGTGCTGTTTCTCCCTGACTGTGTAAACAGCAGCTTGTAAGTCATCATTTTGTGTTTTGTTGTCCTTGTTTGTTGGGGGGGGGGGGGCGGTATATTTAAGCACACTGTTCATTTATCCCTTTTAGGATATGAACTAAATGAACTTAAAAGAAATTAAGAGTTGGGTTTCTAAGAACTATTGAATCTTGGTGTTTCTCTTGTTCAGGCTCCCAGCCTTGACCAAGCACACATGCGGCCGTGCTTAAAGACGCGTACACTATTACTAGCTGTGTGACCTTGGGCGAATCACTTAACCCCAATTGCCTCACCAAAAAAAAAAAAAAGACATGTACACTATCTGGAGAAACAATCCATTGTAGTGTGGGTGTAGCATTGGTCTTTGGTCCATCTTTGTGCTGGGATGGTTTTTCTGTGGCAAACTTGATTTTTGAATGGGTATTTCCAGATTCCTTATAAGCCTAACCTAAGAAATTCTAGATTCACATCCTTCTACAGTGTGTGCATAAATGGATCCAAAATTGCTTTTCCTTGCACATGATGCTTGGGGAAGGAAAAAACAAACAGAAGCATGTTCAAGAAAAGAAGGCTCACTTTGATAATTTCCTTATCTTATTATAAAATATTGAAATTGAACTAGCCAGCCACTGAGGTCCTCTCCAGGGCTAGGTCTGTGATTCTGTGAAAATAGCATACGCCCCAAGTGTTTGCAGGGCATCTGCGCCTGGCTCATCGCAGAGATTTAATGAGCTGTTGTCTTTATATCCCATAGTAATGCCTTTTGTTTAAGAGTAAACATCTATGTACTCTTTGAGCCAGGGTGTGTGGCGGTGAGAGCCAGTGAGGGCTTTCATGGACGGTGTTCCCAGTGAGAACATTTCCCCGATCAGTGCAGAAAAGCCTCTGAGCCAGTCCCCCGGGCGTAGAGAGGTTGCCAAGGACCGCTGAGCTTCCGTCAGTCAGTAAGCAGTTTGTAAGTAGGGCCAAGCACCACACTGAAGAGAAAAGGCGAAGGCAGCCCCTGCCTTCAAAGTGCTTACTTTCTAATGAGAGAAACACGGTAAACATAAAGAGGCACGGTGGCTGTGATGGACTTAACAGAGTGGAAACTTCCTTAATAGCCAGGACCTCTCTCTGTCCTCTTTTCCTTTCCATGAGAGCCTTTCTCTCATGTTCCATGCGTGTAAGACTATTATTATTATACAAAAGACCTTCAGGTGTAGTATATTTGGTTTTTTCTCCGTTAGACTAACCTGTACTAAATGAAATGTGTAGTGTGTTGTGTGTTTGTGTTACATAGTAGTTTTGATTTAAACTCTTTTGAAAAATGTTAAGCATCTATTCATTTATTTGTGAAGATTTTCATAAGTTATTTTTTTAAGGACTTCAAGTTTCCTATTGATAATTTTTTTTCTTCAGGATTGGACAGAGATGTAGTTTCTGCAAGAGCCCTATATGAGGAAATGAAAGCAAAGAATATAGAAATGAACAATGTATTTCTAAAACAGTATGCTACTTTGTTGAAGGATGCTGGTGAGCCTGTCCCTTTCACCGAACCCCCTGTGAGTATTTCCTAATTAAGGAAAAATACCTCTACAGATTTATAAATGTACTGTATTAATAAAAAAAAATCAAATATTTAATTACATGAGGATTAGATCTCTGTGAAGAGCCCTCAGTGGAACTGATATTTAAGATATTGAGTGTTACAGGCACTGTATAATCATGCATTGGATTTGACTTGTGGGAGAAGAAAATCTTCTGGGGCTTATTGTGTTTAAAATACAAGATTTTTATCAGTTATGCATCTGTAGGTGTTAGTTTGTCAAATGTTCTTGGGGCAGTTATCCCTTTATTTCTACCTTAAATAGAATTTTATGTTATTTCAGTAGCCAGCCAAATAGGTTGTGTTGTTAGTAATTACTTGTTTGATTGTAAATATGAATTGTTTGATATTTTTAAAATGAGAGCAATTTCCCTAGGTGGAGGGAATGGTAGAACAGACATAAGCATCACTTCTCCTTGGGCCTAAGTGTGAGGGTGAACATCACTTTCACAATGGAAGGATACCTTCCTGATTCCCTTCATACAGCCCCAGTTGACAGGGCACCCTCCCTGTTAGCGAAAACTTAGCATCGAGAAAGAGGTAGTAGGCAAGGGACCAGTGACCAAAAAACTGCTCCCTTTTCACCTTCTCTGTTGACCAGAACAGATTGAAGTCTGAGAAAGGTATTGAATTTCAGGGAGGTTTCCCAGTATTTTCTGTACCTAGGTAGTCTTAGCTCTCTCTCTTTCTCTCTGTCTCCCTTCCCCCTGAGAGAGTGTGTGTGTATGAACACACACGAAGTGTTATATATGCAAGTACCTCATATCATTCCAACAGTAAAATTAAAAACATACTAAATAAGATTAGTATCCTTTTATTGTTTTTCCCCCCTCCACTGATTACTCTTCTTTCTCTTTCTCAAATACCTGCCTACCTACTTACCACCTAATCCTGGCACCAGTAGAAAAGACTAAGATGAGGTGGGAATGGTGGTACACTGGTACATGAATGCCTCCCTTCCCTGGCCTGACTGCCCTTATTGGGGGGCAGGAATCTCCCAAATTATCAGATTACCCTTATGATTCAGACTTAATAATTGTGCTGATCAGGCTTGGACAGTGAAAGAACAACTAAACATAGTAAGATAATAATGAAACTTAACAGTTGGTGGTAACTCATGGCCCCAAGGGTCTTAACGACTGAATTGCCAGTATCAAGCTTAGTTTTAAAGTTTAGATGTTCATCCCCTTTGGGGTTTTGTTGATTTTTTTTTTCCTTTCTCCCCTTTGCTTAACAGGAAAGCTTCAAATTCTACCTAGAGCAGTTGAAGAAAGAAGAGGTACAAGCTCCTTCATGAGGTGGTGGGATTACGCATTGCTGAGCTTTTATTAATTCTGTGATGGAAACATTGTTTTAAAATGTGTTTGTCAGGGAAAAAAATGGGAAACTAATTTTGTTTATGTACTTTTATTTACTGAATCTACCATGGGTTCAATACGTGTCAATTGTATTAATAATAAATTCAACATGTTTAACTCCATTCTTTTTCTTTATTAACTGTTTATTTCAATGAATGGTTATTACAACATTTTCTTTGAAGTTTCTCTACTCTAAAACTGAAAGATCCTGTAGTCTTCAAAAATTTGAGTATTACAACTCCCTACCTACATTTCATGAAAACATGAATTCCTTTAAATAATTAGTCCTTTCTACTATGCCCCCATCACCCTCAAAGGACAAAAAATAAATAAATAATAAAGCAAAATAAATGCTTTCATCATAAACACGCATAGTTCAGTATGGTCCACATTGGCCATGCCTGGAAAAGTACATCTCATTGCATTTTGAGATCATCCCCCCTGAGAAAGGAGACGAGGTTTCTTTCATCTTCTAAACTCATTGGGGTTGATCAGTTTCTAAAGTCTTTTAAAGTTGTTCTATAATGTGATTGTCATCATTTATGTTGTTACTCGTTCTGCTCATTTGGTAGTAGTTTGTAGACATTTTTCCAGTTTCCTGTGAATCTGTATTTTGACATTTCTTATGGCATTTTTTCTTAAGAAGAAATATCTTAAGGAAGGAAAAGGAGGGGAAGAAAATAAACATTTAGTGCCTTTTGAGTGCTAGGGGCTTTAAAAACATTACTTCATTTGCTCCTTCTAACAACCCTGCAAGGTATAGATGCTGTTATCTCCATTTTACAGCTGAGGAAACTAAGGCAGATCAGTTAAGGCAAGAATCCTTGTCTAGGATCACACATCTAGCAAGTGTTGGGGGATGGATTTGAACTGAGTCTTGCTAACTGCAGGCCAAGCACTCTATCCACCGTGCTGCCAGATGATGTCTTTCTTTGTCTGATGGCGATTGTAGGGTTTTTGGAGGATGGACCTGTGCTTTTACTGGTATTGAACACTTCTGGTATAAATACACTTTCTACTAGGAGAAATGATAGCTCAGATGCAACTTGGCGTCTTGAGAGTTGCCTCAGGCACTGATAGATTGAGTGATTTCTTTTTAGTTACACAGCTGGTATGTGTCATAAGCAGGACTTGAGCCTAAGTCTTCCTCTAAATGGTTTATGTCTCCTGGTTTTTATTCCAGAACAATATAGATCTCTCATAATTGTTCTTTGTTTCCGTTTGGGACTGAAGTAAAAAGTTTGGTCCCATGAGCCACACATGAAAATAATCATAATGATACCATATAGGGTCACACAGACCTCAAAACCAGCTGCAAACCTATGGTCCTCTAAGACTCCCTTTGATCCACAGGACACTATAGTGTTTGGTGTGCCAACAGGCATTAATAGCCTTCCTTTCCAGATGAGGAAGCTGAGGCCCAGAAGATCATGGCAGAACAAAGCTACTCTTTCCCCCCCCTCCCCCCCATGCAGGGGTTCCCAGGCAGTCCCAGCTCTCCACCATCACTCCAGGCAGGCTCCCTGTTTTGTAGTCACTCTTTATGACTGACCAATACCTACTTTTCACGTATTTCCACATAAAGGAAGAAAGAACTGTCTATATATTAACTGAATTTTAATGTTAAAAGTCTTTCCTGAGTTTAATCTCTTGACCAGTAATAGAATAAAAAACAATTCATTGTCTTTATTGTGGGAAGTTAATTGCAAAAAAGTTGAAAATGTTTTTCTCTTAGCTTACTCCTTTTAGTGATTCCCCTTTTGGGGAGCTTCTTGTCATTTTTATTCTTTTTTCCCCTGGGATTAGTAATTGTCCTCTGTTTTGGCTTCATCTGTTTATCCCAAGAATTCCGATTTGTGAAGGGGGAGAAAAGAAATGTTTTTCAGGCTCTTCATTGTGCATTAGGTAAACTTGGTACCTACAGATTGAAGGGAAGAAGAGGGGCTTTGCATTCCTCTGAGGTGGGATCGGCCAACATTCACCCATTTGGACAACAGTTGTGATTTGACTTTCTCTTTGGAGAGATGTAATCATAAAGAATTGTGGGATGGGCCAGACCCCAGAGGCAGTTCCTGGCAATGATCTGATTCATGCATATCCCCTGAGTGTCCAGTCTTTGCAGTTTTGTATCAACTTACAACGCTATAGTTTCCCCTGAAAAGTCAGTTTGTGGTTGGGGCTTTTGGGGGGGGGGGGGGCTGGGGATCAATTATAGTACTTTATATCATAGAGGTATTACATTCCCATAAATTCACCAATTGCATACTGTTAGCTAAGCTAGAATGAATTTAAATTTAAGATTCCAGAAAAATGCAAAATATCTTCACAGAGCACATCTTAAAGTATATTTTCTGAGGTAAGTTTTAGGAAAAGGCAAAAATATTCTTGTAGAAAAGCATTGTGTCAGGATAAGCTTTGAGTTAGGAAAGTGCTTTCAAAGAAATGGTGGATTCTTGTGTTGGAGCTTAAGGAGAATTTCTCACTGTTAATATTGTGAATAAATAGTGCATATCAAAAACCAAGGAGCAACTTTATTTTTGTTTTACCCATAATGGGGGAAGTATTTGCTAAGAGCCCCTTCATGTATTAACATAACCCCCAACAAAAGAATCTGAGCTTCAACAATCACTACAGGACTGATGTCTACTATGTTGTTCCTTTTCTGGTGCTTTTGATGCAAGGAGGGAAATGTATTTTAAAGACATCAAAATGCTTTCAAAGCATTCATCTCTGGGAGGAGGAAACAAAAATCCCCCAAGTTATATCTAGATGGAGAAGATGAACTTATTGAATCTTATGATTTAGTTAAAATTAGGAGGTACTATTATATATAATAATCCTGTATATCAAGAAGAATAATTAAAGTAGACATTTATACTTAAAAAGCATCCTCAATGCACTGATCATATTTATGAACATTATACCATTGGTTGGAGCAAGTAACCCATCCTTGGGTAGAGATGAGTGGGTTCAGGATATCATTTGTATCACTATCCAAAACAAAGGCCCTAACAGATGGTTTGCAGCCCAAAAGAATTAAGTTGTTTTTCCTGGGATTTTTCAAGGCCTAGCTTCTATTGCAAGAGTGACTAGGGTTAGAGACCATACTATAATTTATGCCGGGTCGTAACATACTCCCTGAATCTATGTACCCTAAAAGGTTTTATACACAATTACACCTATACCAGGTGACTTCCAGTGTCCTGACAAGCAGTGTATTATAAAGGGATTCTGTTCAGTTTAATCCAATAACTTAATGGGAATCACCAGGCAGTAGGGGTTGGTTTGGCTGGTTAATGCAAAAATAACTCATGAAAGACTACTATGGAAGGGTTGTGAGCATTATCTATGAAGCATTATCTGGCCCTAGTGATGAAATCACTCAGCTTTCGAACACTTGATTTGTTCTGGTGGTTAAGGCAGTCACCAAGTTTCATAACCTAGATTCTTATATGTTAAATGAACTCTTAGAAAATGGAAGTGTGCAATCTTCAGTTACACTCTACTATTCAAGCCTACAATAGGCATGCATGGCAGTTGGACCCTCTCACACGTCTGATTACAGTTTTCATATTTATATATTGGTGTCTTTCTGACAGACCAATAATCCCATAAATTCAGCAAGTGAAAACAACATCCCAAAGTGTATGTTGAACTGGTAGCTGCAGGGGGTATGAAAATTATGGTAATTTTTAGCTTCTCTATTGTTAGTCATGCACATGAGCGTTTCCAATAGAAATGTATCATGCTTTCAGCACTGAGCATATTACAAAGCCCACATAATGCAGTCCTGGTACAAATATACGAAATGGTTGCATTATCAAACACAATATAGTCACTTAGCCTTTTTTTTTTTTGACGGAGGAAAGGAATAACCTGATTTGAAGAGAGCTACAGTATTTGACCAAATCAAGCCATTCCATAAGTACAATGTGTATCGGCCTTTCCCAGTAGGAAGCCATCCTCAGAAGGAGGCAGTAAACCTCCTTTTAGCCGCATGTTTGGCAAACCAGAGAATTAGTCATTGTGTTGTTCGTTGGGGTTGTGTGATAGTGCACTGAGGGTCACATCCAACACCCCCCACATCCTTTCAAGGACTGTTCTATTCTCCTGTAAGTTGTATTTCTGTTTCTCCCTGTCTTATGTTCCTAATCTTGGGTTTATGTTCACTTATCATTTCCCATAATTGAAAATGTTGCTGCTATCTCTGGGCCTCGGTTTCCTCTTCTGAAAAGTGGAGAGTCCTGGCTAGATGACTTTTAAGAGCCCTTTCAGCTTTGAATCAATGTATTGTCTATAAGGTTGCTAATTGGGATTTAAAACCAGCCTACTACACTGCAGGCCTGGCTGAATGGCCTCCTGCCTTCTAGAGGAAGACTAATGCAGCTAGCTAGGAGGGAATAATAAGAGCTCGTACTTCTAGAGCACTTTAAGATTTATAAAGCGATTTCTCCACAATATTCCTGAAAATGGAGTAGCATAAAATTGGACTCTGCTTCTCCTCCCCCCTCCCATTTACAGATGAGGGAGCTGGTGTGTGTGCGGGGGGGTGTGCGTGTGCGCACGCACGCGCGCACCTACTCACTGTATATAACTTGCCAGCCAGAGAATAGCAGAGCCAGGGGGCAATTGGAAGCCAGGATCACGAACCTTATTGTGCAATACAAACCCAATTTAAAATGTATTCCTAGTACGAGCTGTACTTGCTTAATGGGGGAACCAACAAAAATAAATGATTTTGTAGTTTCAGCAAGAGTCTCTTAAAAACAGCTTTGTGAAATAGGGAAAAGGTACAGTTTTGCAACTTGATGGCATTCATACAAAATGAACTAAAACATAAATGGCCTTGTACAGAAAAGCTGAGCAGTGTTAGCACCAGCAGCCTTTAACGGAATTGATTTTTTTTTAATATTTCAACCTACCACTTAAATATTATTGCTTTAATTAATAGTTGTTAACACTGGGAACTGTTGTTCTTTGGTTCTCTGGTAAAAATGAAAGTGCGTTCATTGTCTCAGAGCACTGGGTTTGGTGCATGTCTGCTATTTGCACACCAGGGCTGACTCTGGCTGGATGCGGATGCTTTCTGATTCTGGCGGACAGGGGCAGTCATTTCGTCTCT